TATATGTCCAAGACTAAGAAAAAGGTTAGACAAGGAAGTTATGGAGTAAGCTAAATGGTCATGTATCTGAGCTGGTGAACAAAAATATGAAGTGCAGAATTATGTAGATGTATTTATAGTTGATTTTAGGAAAAAGATTTACTCATGCAAATCATGAGAATTAATCTGCATTCTTTGTAGGTATAATGTTAATGTTGTAATTGCCATACATTCTCTGTGTGCAGGTTTTAGCTTATACATGTTTTCTCTATTTGTAGGTATGTTGTAGCTGTTATACACTCTAGTAGGTTAGATCCAACGAAATTTATTTATCCATACTATCATATTGACATCTATAACAAAAGTTATTTTACAACCATCCATCCTATAAATGAAGAAAAAATGTGGTTACCTACTAGACTACCTCTTGTCTTACCTCCACACAACATAATCCTAGTTAGAAGACTTTAAAAACTTCGTAGAAAAAAAAAAGATGAAACATCTAATAGACATAAATTAAAGAGAATGAATACCTTCTTCACATGGAGTAAGTGCGATCTATTGGCACAACAAAAAAGCTTGTCAAAATGTGACACTACCACCACATCTGCCGACTCCAAGAAAAATACAAAAGAAAAATGTAGTGGTAAGTACTACATGTTTACCTTCTCAACCTAGCTACGACATTGAACTTCCTATTCTTGTTTAACAATCTTTTACCATTGTACCAATGTTGACCCTGCCACTATAAGATTGAAGAAGAAATTTGTAGCTGCTATAACAAATAACTTGAAGCCTAAATTAGGACTATGGAAAAGTAGAAATGGAAGCCAATCATAACTACATAACAATTGCAAAATGTTGTCACTCAAGTTGTGCAAAATATGAAGTAAAATTCACCTTTTCAAAGAAAAAAAAGTAAAGCTACACATTAGGAACTGAATATACCTTCTTCTTTTGTAATTTTGACTTCTTTTGTAAAGAGAAGTTCTTTCAAGTTGGCCTATGTGCTCACATGTTAAATATTGTCAGGGTCCTACTTAAGTTGATGTGTACTTTATTTTCTTTTATTTATTTAACTTATTGTGGACCACCTTATTTTTAAACTTCATTAACTCGTTCAAATATCATTTAAATATGAACATTAAAATGAAATAACTCATAATCAATACATTAACAAAACTACATTGTCATTCATTAAAGTGAAAATTAAAGATACATCATGAAAACTTGCTTTCTAAACCTATTTCTCATTATAATGACAAACATCTCTCAATTTGGTTCTTAAATCCATTTTTCATTTATCTGTGAAATTTAGTTTACAACTTTTACATAATAGATCACTACTAATATACCAACAATTATATGAAATAAAAATAGTTTCCACGAACAACATAAAAACAACTTCAATACTCAAATTCTTTTCTTCAAATTTGCTATAACCTTTTGCTCTTCTTACCTTAGCTGTGTCTTGTTCATATAGTTAAATCCACTCACTAGAAAAACTTACAACTCCATGCCTTATATGCTTTGAAATTATAAACCAACAAAACAAATATACACTTTATACATTACACGTACCCTTTGGACACCTAAAAAAATGTGCATTCATAATTTTGTGTAGTTTTAGATATGTACATCTTCATACTATTTCTATATTCACAATACATTACCTTTCTACACTTACACTGTTGACTGCTACTCACAATAATTCCTTTGGTTTCCATTATTCACTCAAAAAGAAATGTTACAACAGAGGTGATGCAACTTAAAAATTAAGACTATTTACATATGTGTCAAAGTTATAAATTTGATATATCTTGCATATTATCCGTCTTCAAATACCATAAAAATGACAAAAAAAAAGATAAAAAATATGAGTCAAAGTTGTAAATTTGATACGTCTTGCATATTATTCTTCTTCAAATACCATAAAAATGAAAAAAGAAGATAAAAATTATTTTATAACTTTTTTAAGTATAAAAATTAAAGTATGATTTTTTTAAAATATAGTGAATTTTATAAGTATGTGTCAGTATATAATTTATCTATATAAATTTATTATACTACATGCATTTAACATTTATCAGAGGTAGTTATTTGTATTGTTAAAATTAAATTTAGAGTGGTACTAATTGCTTGTATAAACTATTCCGTAAAATTAAAGTTTTAAGTTTTCCTTTAGTTGGCATAATTTTTCTGAACCCGGAATTTATTAACTGTATCCATCATTCAATAGCTCAATTGTTTTCCATGCTTCTATTATTAATACGGCTTATCATGAGCACGCGTGTGGGGACGGAACAGAAGCTACCAGAGAGTTCAGACTTTCGAGTACTGTTTTGATTGTTACGGCTTTAAACAATGAAAATGGAAAATGCCAACAATTTGAGAGTGCCATGTCATGTCTCGGTATGAATTTTGGTCCCCTGCCACACTCGTCGCTGTGTCTGATTATATAATAATTTAAGATAAATATACAATTATAAATAATTAATAAACTTTAAGTATAAGTAATTAACTATTTTATAAAATGTTTTAGTATTTATAGGAGTTATTTAATATGTTTGTTTTAAATTTTGATAGAAAATAATGTTAAAAAATAGAGATGTATTTTTTGTGGCTGAAGTAAGATGACAAGTCTAGTGATAGTGTGATACTATTTTCCTACATCCCAATTTATCACGTGCTCTATATTCAATGTTTGTCTAATCATGTCCATGAATGTTTATCTGGAAGCTTCACATATATTAGTCAAACATTCACAAATGAAAATTAAAAATGTTATTACCATTTCATATAATTCAAAGAAACATGCCTCACACACCCAGTCCCTCTACCCAAGAACAAGATAGTAGTGGGTTTCTTTAATTGATAAAAATAAATAATATAAATTAAAGAAACATATTAAATTATATCATGTAACTCACTTCTATATTATTAATAATTTTATTGAAAAATATTTTTTTATCAATTCAACTTTAAAGTATAATCATATATTATATTAATTATTTGTGTTAAATTTTATTAAAATTAAACAAATATAAAAATATCATAAAAATACTTTATTTTTATATATTCTAAAATTATATAGTACGGTAACTTTGATGCATATAAATAAAGTAATTAAATTTTAAATTATTATAAAATTTTATAAATATAATTTATGTTATTATAAATTTTAATTTAATATTAATTTTGAAATTAAATCATTCAATAAAAATTTATTAAATGGTATAATAATAAGTATAATTTACACAGGTATAATTTAGTTATATTTTATTTTTAAAATTTTTATAATATATAAAAAAAACATGTTTTTGGACTCTTAGCTTCCTTTAATAGCAAAAAAGAAAAACATGTTTAAAATCTTAATAATTATTCTTTTTCTTGAGTAAAAAACATAAAAAAAAGAAGATAAAATGGTTACATTAAATTAAAAAAGTATAAACTATATTTTCTTATAATGTATAATATAATAATTATAAAAAGGTAACATATTGTGAAATACTATTTGATTATTAATTAATGAAGAATTATATTTATATGTATCATAATTAAATAATATATATTATAATTAAAAAGAGATATACGCGTGAGAAAGTAACTAAAACAAGACTCAAAGTAGAAGATAGAAGTTTGGTTTTATGTATATATAAAATTATTATTATTTGGATAAGTAGACTTTCAAAGTTTTGAGATAAAAAAATCTGGCTCTGCCTGAATGCAACTGTTGTTTGTTAGAATTTGAATTTGAATAATAATTAATAATTAATAATTTGAACGTTGAACAAAGAGAGAGTCAGAGACCTTTAGCTTTGGAGGTGGTAATCTTTAAATTCAAGAGGAGCCCCTACAATCCTTAGTCAATTACAAATCGTATTTGGTGTCCTTTGACCTATAAAAATAAATTGAAATTTAAATATAAAACCTTATAATAAATAGTCAACTGTGTCGTATATATTCTATAATAAATAAATAAATATTAGAGTCTAAATTGAGATATTTATTTTACATTTTTTTTTCGTTTCAGGTAAGATTGAAATAATTATTATAAATTCTTCAAAACATATTTTTAAAATGTTTTTCTTCTTCTCTAATCGGGTTAGAATGGATTAGGTGAGTGGGCCTGTATTTCATCCATTAGGAGTTGGCCTGCATTTGCCACAGCCCATACCTAGCTATTAAATAGGCCAAACTAGTCAAAATTTACAAGTGATGAAATAAGAAGAACAGCACTTTTTTAACCCCCAAAAAATAAAGAAGAACCTCATTTTAAGCATTCTAAAAACTAATACCTTCATAGCCGCAAATGTAAATGACATGTTGAATTTGTCCACGGAAATGATAATGTCGATGGAAGCCAATATGATTAGAATTAATGGTTTACTAATTTTTATTTTGAAATTAAATATATGGTAGCTTGTTAAGTATTAATTTTTCATATTTGTAAATTTACAAACTAAATTATTTTCACTTTTTTTTCCAAAATAATATGCAATAACGCATAAATATAATTTTAAATCATAGTTTAGATCATGCAAATCGCAGACAAAAATCAAAACAAGCCTTATAACCAGAAAAGGATAGTCACAACAACTTAATGTAATTTTAGACTGAATTATTTTAGTTAATTATGTAAAACAAAATTAAAAAAAATTACTATTTAATCTTGTATTGTAAATTTTTAAAAATTAACTAATAATTATTGTTTTTATATAAAAAGCTTATTTTAAATAAACAAAAATTTAAAACTTTAATTAAAAACTTGGGAACATTTTGGGCGATATTAGGGAAATAGGTGATTTAGAGATTCAGAATAAGGTGGTGGTTGGTGGGTGAAAAATAACAAACAAAAAATGCAAGTTTATAAAAAGAAACAAGGTGGTAAAAAGTGGCTGCGGAGCGCCGATGTTGAGGGTTGGTGCATGCAAGATGATCACATGAAAAAGAACAAAAAATATTGACCAAAGTTAGGGGTTGACCATTGTAACACAATAGAGAATCAGCCATCACTTGATACGGCAAAAGAAAGAGCAAAATAAACAGCTCGTGACTAACAAAGGTTTTGTAAAATGTTTCTTTAAATAAATTCCAGATGTTAGGAACATCCAACCATAAAATTCTCTGGTTGCAAGATCAAGATCATGATCAACCCATCATAAATTAAGCCTTCAGGATCCTCGAAATGTCATCCAACTCTACAACCTAAACACGTAACTCATAACCCCAACAGGAAACAAAGATACCATACTGCAAGACTCAATGACAAAAGTATCAACAAAACGCCACCGGTACCTTAGAACATATCTGTTTCTATGTATGTATAGATGTAAATATATCTCTCAGCACCAACCAACCCCGGAAACATGTTGAAGGATGATTCAGTGGATAGAAGTCCGAGGCGCGCGAGATCGGACTGGCGTCTTCGATGGACTTACCCTGCATAGCAGACCAGGCGTAAGAATCCTTCAAGCCACATTCAAAGAAATCCCAAAGTATTTAGCAGAGTTGAAATCAAAGATAAAATTTATCAGTCCAACCTTATGGGCAGTGAACCTAAAATCACGCCGCTACAGCTCAGAGCTGCAATTGCACTCTCAGCCTGCAAGAACGAGGCAAAGAAAATCTTCAGGCACCCAAGAAAGAGAAGAGACATGGCAAACCAAATATTGGCCCAAAAATATTTTGCAACAACTGTTATTACTTACCTGTAAGCACAGCATATAATTCCTAAAACAAAAAAATTGATCTAGTTCACATGTACAGAGTACTTGGGTTATTAAAACCCTTCCAATAAGGTAGTGAAGATCAGGACCGCCCCATTGAATAACAACTCTATAGATGTTCCTTACAAAAATATAGAGAAATTGAAACTAACCAAGCCAGGACTGTACATAAATGCAAAAACTACAAAGGTAAAAGATGCAACATCTTATTGTGTGAGAACTTTATTGTCTTTAACAAAAAAAGATATAAGGGGAAAACCAGTCAAACAAGCTTAACAGCTTCACCAATTCAAATCAAGTTGTCATCATGTGATTCCTGAAACCAGCTTACAGCTTATTGAGCAAGCCCAAGTATCATTACCATTTAATGGCCCAAAGTGACCCCCCACCATAAAATAAATATCGCAAATGAATATGTATCCCTTAACCACTAGATCATAGAGCATCATACTGGAGCACAACACACACAAAGGCTAAGAGTGAAAGTGCACCCATCTTTCATTAATACACACTCAATGGATGAAAAAACAAATTTAAGAAGTAAGAGCATTTATTAAAAATGAAAAAATTCCCTCCTCTTCCTTCCCTCCCCCTCTAAAACCAAACACCTAAACATACCCTTAGATGGTACAATTTAAAGACTCACATAAAAAGAAAATATTGTGCATATGTGCAAGTGTTGCAGTGCACATGTGCGTGTATGTGTCTTGTGCACACACAAGAAAGCTGCTATACTAATATCCTCCCACTTGGAGTATGTTAGCAACCTATACTTTTTTTTCTTGTGACAAAAAAGCCAATTCCATTTGTGTTCTATAACTCGCTTGGTGAGCTTCACTTTGAGCCAAGGTTTTTAAATTGAGATCCTAACTAGAATAGGAGTTAAAAACACGCAAAATGTGTGATCATGGCATGGATCTTAAGATACTTACCAATAATGTAATATTACAACAATAATCAAACCCTATCTCACTAGGTGAGATCTATTACTTGAATTACATGATACTATTGAATTTGGTCAAAATTTAAATTTTTTAAAATACTATTTATCACAAGATCTTTTTAATATTTTTTTAAAAAAATTCTTTGGTTCTCCCTTTAATTAAAAGTCATGTCATTCATTCTACTCACTAATACTTTCAGTGACCTCTGCATGTACCCAAGCTACCTTATCAATTTTCTGTTTTTTTTTTTTTATATATATAACTATAAATGCTACTCTAATATAATAAAACTATCCTTTCGGCTAATATCAACCACATGGATCATACGACATCATTGATTTGAAAAAAGTCAAGTTCTCTAAAATATTTATTAAGATCTCTTTTAATAATTTTTTTAAAGTTCTTTTGGATCTCTCTCTATTCCTTTTCATTGGATTATAAATCATTTGATTCATTCTCTTTACCAGGACCTCCAATGACCCCTATTCGTGTCCAAATTATGTTATTCATTTTGTCATCTTTTTTATGGTAGAAACTACTTCAATACAATTTTTTTTTTGTATGACCATTTATCCATTTTAACATTTTTATTTTTGTTACTTGCAATTTTTTCTCGTATTATTTCTTTAAAGCTTACTGTCCATTATCATGTAGGAGAGTTGATTGTATAGCAATATGATAAAACTTTTCTTTTAACTTGATAGGTACATTACAATCACAAATAATTCTCAATATTCTTCTCAACTTTAACCATCCAGTTTGTATTTTGAGTAATATCATCAATTTCTTTATCATTCTATAAAATTAATGCTAAATATCTAAACTTGCAAACTCGTGATATTACATTATCTACAATTTTAACTTTTAACACATGATTTCCATCTTGCATTTTTACTAAAACTACAATGCATTCCTCTATTTTACTTCTGTTCAAACAAAAACCTTTAGATTCCATAGTATGCCTTCATAATTCAAGTTTAGAGTTATCTTCTTCTTTTGATTACTAAACTAAGATTATGTCATTCGTAAAGAGCATGTAATTAGAGATAAATTGTTGTATGTTACTCATAAACACATCTAAGTTAAAAAAGTAAGAATTCAAAATTAAGCTCTAACGTAAATCTATCTCTATAAGAAAATCCTTAAATATTCTTCTAGGAGTTCCCACACTAATAATTACCCCCTTATATTAAGTCTTGTATAGTCCAAATATATGTTACATGAACTCTGAACCCTTTTCCTTTCTAAATCATTTCACAACACCACTCTTAACATACAATCATCTCTTATTTATGTCAATAAAATCATATATAATTTTTTTGAAAGTCATTATTTATTTATATGTTATGCATAATCTTACTAGAAAACGTTTTGTTCCTAGTAGAATAAGGGTTGGTTGTTATATTTAGATGTTATTTGTATATGCAATATAAGTTTTAGTACAGAAAAGAAGAAGTGTTTTTTACACCTACTGTCAGCTATCAGCCACACCCCAAAATGGAGTTTGAACAAACCAGCAAGTAAATAGAAACAGGTTAAAAGGAGAGAGGAGTATTTGACAAAATGTGTGGAAAAATCACCACAGAATCATAGCCAAATGCCAGCCACAACTACACTTTGAAGGAGATAAGTGAGCAACTACAACCGTGATGCATAACCAAGTTCAAACAAGCCACCCAGCCATCAGACACAGCCCACAGGCCAAAACCCAGTCATCAGCACCAATTAAGAGATGTTGAAAAAGAAATCAGGCTTCAAGTAGGTCAAGGTGGTTTTAACCCCTAATTGGTTTGATCTGCTACTCAAATAGAAGCTCACTAAAACACTAAGATTGGTGATTTCACCTCTTCTATGATCTCACATGGCAATTCCACGCCAATGTCACTAAGGTTTTATTTGGAAGTTTTGAGGGAGAGCGAATGAAAAAGGTAATGGAGGAAGAAGGGGGGATTAATACAGAGCTCCCCAAATTGGGAGAACTAAAAAAAATAGGATTATGAGGGTTTATAAACCCTCACCCTCTTATTTAAAAAACTTTCAAACATGACTAATCATCACATAAGTCTTCCTCTTCCCTTCCCTTCCCTTCTTCCTAAAAACTAACTCACAAACATTGCCTAAAGCGAGTCAATGAATGTGATCAAGATTCATGGGCCTACAGAATTCGTAAGACCAGAGTAAAATCACAATCTAGACAACCTTGCTTTAAACTGAACCAAACCAACACTCCTCATGTATAAAAAAAATGAGAAATATGACCAGCATCATCACTTGCAACGAGTGCAAATTATGTGTTAGAACTGAGAGCAGACAAAATCTTCATCAAATGGCTTCAATGTGAATGAAGAAGTAAATGAAAAGCAAGCTGAAGTCATTCCCAATATTTGATTGAAACTCTTCCATGAGATCTACAATTCTCCTTGTTTTGTTTTACAAATAATGTGAGCATATGAAATTTTAAAAGAAAAGGCATAATATGTGTGCGGGTGTGTGAGTGTGTGACTGAGGGAGAGAGAAACTATTTTATTTTCCTTTCTCATTGTTAGGATTCAATAGCAAGGTATGAGACTTGAGCCCCATGTTTGTGAGGCATTGTGCTCTCTAACTCCAACTACAATTAACTTAACTTCAGTCATGTGGTTCTCCCAAGGTTCGTATCACTCATTTTACACTAAAAAATAGTAATATTGTTTTGTTGAATAATCCACAAATTTGTTTTTTTCTTTTTCTTAATTCACAACTGTTTTCTTTTCAAAAAGAAAAGATGTAGTGCTAAAATATTCCAAAAGAAAACGAAGTAGGAGTATCTCTGCAGGTCCCTTTATTTATGCACACATATATAACTTCAGTCATCCAAATACCACATCATCCAGAATTTTTCTTCTAACTTGATTATTTTACTTTGAAAGGACTGTTTTGGAGCTATTCTAGTCGGAAATGTACAGTCATTGTTACTATGAAAGTTAAAAACACAATTTACTGAGAGGAGTGTACACACAAGAAGTACAAACACAATCGATTCTTTTGCGGGGGTAGGGTGGGAGTTGGGTAACCGCATTGTTTAAAGCCATCAGTAGCATTCAATCTGAAGATTATAACTTCACAAAGAAATAAGCAGTAGAAAAAATAGTTATGTAAACCAGTATTGACTCGGATGAAAACAAGACAGTTAAAAAGTTAGTGAGTAATTACCAGTGCAAACTCAACAAATGCAATTCGAGTTGAATGATGGTAATCCCCAAGAAGCCTCAAGCGTTGAACCTAGATGAATAAATCAATAAATAATGGAAAATATTTCTCCAGATACTTGTTTATTTGACCAACAACAAACACTATTGAACTTAGAAAAATACACCCAAAAAACAGAGAATATCTCATATGATGCTTAAATTCAACCAATTGAAACCATAATCTTGGTACCATTAAAAGCTACAAACCTCTCCACAAATAGATTCAAAGAAGTTTTTGACATCTGCTTGAGTAAGCTGCAGAGGTACCGAGAAAAGAAATTTTAGGAATCATGAGTCGCAATTGCTCCCAAACAGATAACGGAGAAAGAGCAAGTAGTTCCTTCAAGCAAGATTCTAAGAAAGTGTCAAATCCTAAACTACCTTCTTGTCGATGTTGGTGCAATAAATCGTTCTCGAGCACATCTCCCTTTCATCTTCAGACTGAGAAATAAAGCACCATCGGAAAGGTAATGGGCAGCGTTAGTTCAACCTGGTCAATCATCTCCTAATGCCTGTAATAGGTTTCTTGAAGAAAAAAAGATTACCCTTGGCAAAAATGTAGGATTAACGGGTGCAATGGCAGTTTTTGAAGGTAGCACTCTCAGAGGGTAATATCCAAGCATGGTACCAGACAGGCTCAAAGCAGCCCTCGCACCATCTGCAGGCATAACACTGTTAGTACAGTTAAATATCACTAAAAATTACAGCTTATCAGCAACACACATTTGGCAACAATGTTACCTTCATCAGTAAACTCAATGAAGGCAAATCGGAGAATAGAATTAGGATCTCCACATACGCGGCAATCAACAACCTATAGCCAGGAATGAGGAGTTACTCGTTACCATGGTCCACCATAACTAAGAAGAACACATGTGATCAACAAAAGATAACCGTTTTTACCTGACCACAGTTAAGAAAGAGAGCTGCCAGCTGCTCTTCAGTAACCTAGACGCCAACAGAAAAACAGCAATTCACATGAAAACAAGTGGCAAACATTGCAAGGTAGCTGAAACAAGACAATACACAAGAAAGCTAAAATTTGTACCAGTTGATCAATGTCAGACACATATACGGTCCTCCGAATCATCTCTTCTCTTTTCTCCATGTCTATTTTATGATTCACTCTTCTCTTCCCAGCACTATAGCCATTCTTCCTCTGTACCATATAATATCGTGATAAGGGGAAAAAATGAAACCTTTATGCTAGTAACCCACAATTCTGAGAGAAACAGCATAAATTAAAAGTAATCAAAACAAAATATCCATACCCTTCTGTTGTTAGTTTGGCCATTAGTATTGCCAAAATTATTGTGCAGTATAAAATTGTTAGCGTAACCAAAGCCAGCATTAGGTCCAGTTAAGTAGCCATGATTATTGGCCAGTGATGGAGGCACAAATTCCTCAGCCATGGGGTTCAGCTTTGACAAAAGCTCTTCCAAATCTCTCATATCACGCTTGAAACTATCGCCTCCATTCTCCCCATTCATCCCATACCCATCATTGTTCACTCCATTTGCGTGCATCTGAGCCTTGTAGTTGTTGTAATTGCTGTTAGGAACTGACACGGTGCTGGAAACTCTTTCTTGGTGGTTGAACACACCGTTGTTCAGATTCTGATCGCCTCTGGTTTTCGATTTCTCAACCTCACTCGAGTCCGCTGACACTACACTGTTGTCCAAATTTTGACTCGAAGAACCGATTTTCGCCCCAACATTCTCAGCAACCGCCATAATCACTAGCGTAGAGACAAAAAAAAAGCTGTTACCTTTTTTCTCCGCTTTAAGGTTTTTCCGTGAATCTGTATCAAGGGATTGAACTAGTAAAAAAATGATTTTTCTCAAAAAAAAGAGAAAAATAAGAATGACCCAGAAAACGATATGGAAAAAGGAAGCATACCCGGGTCCTATTTTATCTAAAAATTCATCATTGACATAAGATCAAGCTGATCCTGGAGATTGTGAGATACGACAACCTTAAAACCCCAGAAAAGAAAAGGAGAGAAATTGGTGAAATGGAGAGAGAGGTTTATCTTACTGATGAATGATGTGTATAGAGAGATGAAGGGGGTATTTTTCTTCGGATCGTCCGTTTTCACTGCACTGACTTTTTGGACCTTGCTGCTGAGAAGAACGTCTCAATTTGATGTTTTGGTGATGATGATGATTATTATGATGATGAATGCATCGAAGAAAAAAAAAATGATCAGCGTGACCCAATTTCCCTTTTTTATTTTTATTTATTTTGTTTCTAACATTAATTTTCCATAACTGCCCATTGAGTCACACATGTTGCCACGCGTCTCGGTACATGGTGATGATGCATTGGCGAGGTTATATGGTAAACCAAACCAAACAAAACACAATGTAGGCTAGCCACGGATTTTATATTCAAGACATCATTTAATGACTCACTTGCCTCTCATCACAGCTTATCTTAATCGAATTAAATCATTATTGTGAGATTAATAATAGGACGAACAACTAATGGAAAGTTAATTGAGATTATCAAAAATTACTCTTCACTTGTTATTCTTTGCATGTATTAACCTGTATTTCAAAAAGTTTATCTAAAATTTATTACAATATACTAATTATGCAAAAATATTTTATTTTATCGTTTAGTTATACATTTATATACTAATTAAAAAATATATAATTATGCATCATAAATTTATATATATTTTTTTAAATATTCATAATATTAAATGGTCAAATTAGCAACTAATATCAACTTATATATTAAATGAAGTAAATATATTAAATTATATAAGTAATAAATGAGTGCATTTATTAATATGTATATTATGATAAATATGCAAAAGAATAATTAATGCATCTTAAAATGAGTAATTATTTATTTTAATGAAGATTAATAAAATATTAGTAGTTATTTTTTATAAATAAAATCAAAATTAATATTATACAAGAGAAAAGCAAGTAATTAAATCAAAGGTTCTTTTGTCCTTCATCTATGTATGCACGTAATTTATGTTCTCTCTCTTCCAATTTGTTATACTTTGTTTAGATATAAAGAAAAAGAAAGAGAAAATATTTTTTTTCTTTTATTAATTGAACAAAGACAAGAAGAAGAAAAAGAAAAATAGAATATTAGTTTAATTAAAATTGGGAAAATTGTAAATTTAGAGATTATGTTAATTTCATGCTGGCATATAGGATCACGAATAAATTATGTTCCATACATGTAGAGAAGGAACAGTTATATCAACAATAATTAGGTACACTACACTATGACTCATTTAGTGGTCACAAAGATAAAGATGAATAGTAAATACAGTAAGATTAAGAAAGGATAAAAGGTGCATATAGTGTAGGGATATGGATCCCAAATGCAGGGGACATTTAAGCGAATATGCCTACAAAATTTTATTGCAGCATGTAATTACTGTAAGAAATTATTTTCTTATAATAAAATCTAACGGTTGGTAATATAAATTGCATGCATATAAAAAACATTATAAAATTAATCATATTAATAGAGATTATCTGTCTAGCATGGAGGGTGTGTCACATGGTGGCAATGGAGAACGGGGATGCTCGTGATTTGGTTTCGTTGAGCTTTTCATTCGAATAAAAATAACATGTAGTTCAATTTTATTCTAATCGTATACGACTTGAAACTAAATTAAATTGAATTCTAAAATATTGGTTTACTTTGGATTGGTTTTCTTGGATTTTATTTATTATTGTATGAATTTATTTTATTTTTAAATTTAGAGTAGTAAGTAATTTAAAAATTTTAATGTGTTTGTTAAAAAAATATATAGAGAAAAATTGATGGTTAAAAAGATAAAATTATAAAAGAAAATAATAAATTATTGATAAAGAAAAAAAACATTCAATTAAAAAAATAAGAACTAAAGTAAGCAAAGCTTATGCATTATATATTTATAAAATGTTATGATAGATTTAAGTAAAAAAAATTATAAAAAATAAAAAAAATAGTATAAATTTATTATAAATGCATTTTAATTGAGTTTTTTCAATTTGACCATATCAATTTAATGATTTAAAAATAAATTAATTTAATTTTTTAAATATATTAAAAAATGTTAAACAAAATAATATTGATAATAATTAAAACGATTAAGTTACTAAAGTAATGGTAGTTAAAAAGTGTATCAAGTAACGCCAAATATGTCAATAACAAAAGATGTCCTAAAATGATATAATGAAAAATATTAAACGACAAAAAAATTATTAAATGACATCATTATTAGATGATGTTAAGTAACACAATGACAATAATAGAAGTAGATAAAATTAAATAATAATGATATCAGAATGATAAAATGTGTTAAAAATAGTGATAAAAAATGTTAAAGAATGACTATAACATTAACTATGAATAATGTATAATAAGGAAGGAAATTAAGTAGTAGTAATACAAGTTTTATAAAATACTTTAAGTTACAGCAATAATAAAGAGAGACAATTCAATAAAAAAAGTTACTAAAATTATTGCTTTATACCTTTAAAATATTTATACTTATTAATAATATTTAAAAAAATTAAAAAAAATATTAAAACATTAAAATTAATTAATTAATTCTTTTTACTTTGAAATATCTTATTTTTATGATTTAATTTTTTTAAAGTAAAGAATTATAGTTATTAATTGATAAAGAAACAATTAAATTTATGATTAAATATTAATACATACATAATGAGTTACGTAATTATATGTATCTCAATTGTTAATTTTTAAATAAATAATTATAATTTATTACTTTATATATATATATATATATATATATATATATATATTAGTATAAGTTTAAAAACTCTTACACTTAATTTGAACTTTTTATTTAACTTAAATATAATAAGTTATAATTTATTACTTCAATGATCATTAAATTTAAGTTAAATAAAAAGCTCAAATTAAGTATAAGAGTTTTTAAACTTATAAGAAAATTTTACTCCATATACGTATATATTTTTTCTCTCTTTCTCTCTCTATATGTATATATCACCGTAGTTGGTATTATTTTTTAACTAATTTTATGTTATTTTTACTTTTTAACTTACTATAGGATTGAAGAAAAAAATATTTTTGTTAGTTATTTTTTTTTTTTTACTTTTTTATCGACATTTCACTCTATTTTATAAAGTAATTCATAGTCTAATTTTTTATATTTAATTGTGTCAAACCTAAAATAATAATATATTTTAACCCATCCATCGTAATATTTTTTATTTCTTTTTTGCTAGTCCATCCACCATAATATTATATGAATAAAATAATAAGTATTGAAATAAAAAGTTAATGTCTTTAGTGAATTGAAAATTATTTTATTACTAGTAAAACTAACTATCAAAGAAAAATATAAATATTATGATTAACCAAGTAATTGTATTACATATTATTAATTATATTCTAAAGATTAATTAATAGTATTTTATTGAAAATCAAATGGTGCATTTGAGTAAACACGTACTAAATGATTTAATTAAATACTTAGTTAATGAGTTTTAAAAAGGATATTTTCAAAAGTTATGCAAAATAAATTTTATTAAAATTTAAAACAAGTTTTGAAAAAATTTAAAGTCATAGATTCTTATCATATTTTTTTATAAATTATTTTAAATAAGTAATTAGTAAATGAATTGATTTCGTTGACAATGAAAAGAAGCCAAATAAAACTAATTATATCACCTTTACATCTTTAAAAGTTTTAAAAATAAAATTTAGATAAATTATAATAATCTTATTGAAATAATTAAAAAGAAAGGCTTAATATTATAATTTGCTTTCGGCTTGCTAAAACATTGGGTCTGCTCTATTGTCATCAATGGACAAATCGAGCAACAGTACCGGCAGTGGTAGCTCCGAAAGATGACGGTGGCATTTAATATTAAAAAAGATGTAGTAATGATTTGTTAGAAAATGAATGATTTATATTTTAGAATTTTAATAATTTGTTATATATGTGTATATATTTTATTATAATCTTATTTTTAATAAAAAAATAACACTTATAATTTTATGTTAAAAAAATATTTCATATCATTTCAAAGAAGTGGTATATAAACGAGACAGTATAATTCTTCTTTACCCTTCCTCTAACATGCCTGTGTTTGGAATATAGTTTATTTTAAACATGGTTGGTCCGTGTGTATATATATATAGTAAAATTAGATAAAAAGATAAATTTTAAACTACAAAGTATAAATTAACTAATACTTATTAAAAATAAATTTTTAATGTACAAAAATGACTTGACATAATTAAAACAACTCTTTTATTTGAGAAATTTTTTAAAATTATTTTTTTAAGAATTTATACTCACAAGTTATATATGAAGGATTATTAAAAATGCATGCTCATTAATAATAATAATTTTATAGAAAAATATATTTTTCAGTATTAATGACAAAAGAATATTGATAAAGTTTTAAATTTATGTATGATTACTTCTGAATTTGCAAAAATATTCATCATAAATGTTAAATATTGAAAATGAAAATTTTTATATTGATTTAAAATAATTTTGTTATGAATATAATAATTAATATTGTAAGAAAAGACATTAAAATTTAATGTTAGCGGTCGTTTGAATCTTGAAGAGTCTATGAATGAAAACAAAAGGTTGGGTCAGAGTGTATTGTTAGGGGATAGGCGGCTACACAGAGAGTATTAAAAAAGGAAAGGCAAAGAAACAAAGAGTGGTGGATGCAGGAACAGTGTTTGTTTTAATTCCGCGTTGAATTGTGACATGGTTTTTGTTTTTCAACGTCGCCTAAGAAGGTGGTAATCTTCAAATTCAAGAGGAGCCCTTCAATTCTGCGCCAGTCAATTATGAATCATTCCTTCCATGCACCAACCCCTACTGCGTTCAATTTAAATCCACGGTCAACTAAAATAATTATAAATTCAAAACAAAGATTTTTTTTGTCTCCAACATATATCCTACCAGAACCTGTGTAATATAACTATGTTTAATTAAGTCTATTTGTAAAAAAAAAAACAGAATAAAAATGTAAAATATATTAAAATTTTATTATATGTTAAAATTAATTTATGTACATTAATTTTTTTAAAAATTTTCATCTAACTTATCTAGTAATGCACATAAATTTTATTTTATTTTTATGCAAGACAGTTTCATTCATTTTAGTTTGTTTACTTTCTTTTTGTATAAATGTTTGTTAAAGAGGTTTGTTCACGCTCAACCCTACTTCTTTGATTACATATATGTTGTCTAAACATGAGAAAAAATTAATGTTTAGGAAAACATGATAAATTTAACAATTGATTTGATCAATTTTATATTTTATAAAAAAATTATTAAGTGATGTAAATATTTAAGTTTAACACCTCATTAACATATATTGACTCTCTCTCTCTCTCTCTATATATATATATATATGTATATACACACACTTCTTTTATAAATATAAATTTAAAAAATTCAAGCTTCTATTTTCATTTTAAATTACAAAATTGATCTCAAATGTAACTTTAATAACATTTATCTATTTTTCTCATAATTTTTCTCTTCAGCTAATAATATTGTTCAATTATCATACATATAAATAAAATATAAATATTACAACAATACTATGATAAAGTTATATTAACTTAAAAATAAAATAATGTTATAAAATATTTAATTTTAGCATAATAATTTTTTTGCTAGAATACAATTAATTTATTTCATTAAATCAATAATGACAATAATATCTTATTTTATATACTATTTTGTTATAATCATTCTATTGTAATATAAATTTTGTTAATAACGTTGAATAACTAATTTTTTAATAATATATATTCAACAAAATAGAATTTGTCTGCATTTTTTTTAATCTTCAATCGTGATCAATCTTGACAAATAAGAAGTTTTTCTTCACTACAATATAAATTATTAATTATTTATATTATTGTGTAAAAGAAGTAATAGGTCTTTTGACACTTCAACTATATATATATATTAATGTATTATATTTATTTTATTATATTGAAAAATTTAACCAAATATATCCTCTTGTAGGTTTCCCTTGAAAAATACTTTAATCATTCATTGGATTCCCTTAACTTGAAGAACTACACTCGTATTTTTAAAAATAACACTACATCGTAGTTCATTTTATTATAAACAGACCCGCAAAAAATAATGAATAAACCTTAAATAAGATTCTTCTACTACAACTGTCACTAACAGTAAAAATCTGCGTAATTTCAAGACTTTAAGATAAAATTAAATACACCTATTACCAATTACTGAATTCCATGCAAAATTTTAATTCCATCCTTCGGCCAAAATAAATATTTAAAAACAATTAATGGAAAAACAACCCTAAAAATCTTGCTTACATTAAAATAAATTCGTGTAATTTGTCCCTCGGAAATGGAGCACAAATTTTAAAATAAAAGTGCAAATCAGTTTAGCTTTAAGTAGTTGATTTTGAAACGGGCTACTCTTCAGAACTTAAAAACTAACTGAAAGTACTAATAATTGCCAATAGTAACTCGTTGAAAAGTACAACCTCTTGCGCATTAGGCTAATGTCCAACATATTTGTTTAAACGAAACAAAACCATGACAGTAGAAAGCATCAAATAAGTACAGGCCCTACAGAATCACCAAACTGATAATTACCAAGGAAATTGCTTTGTTACATCAATGATTTTCCTCCAAACAACTTAAACGAATTCATATAATCCCAATACTACCCAGAATGGAGCAATATCTCCAGAGAAGCACCGGCATTTTTTCAGAGAATCAACCACTACCTGACAGCACCTACGAAAAAAATTCATTTTCACAATTAAGATGATTACACATTTTTATATTAGCAAATCATGTAAAAACAAATGAAGAGTTGAGCACTCAATCTAATATACTCTCTGTTATCAACTGAAATTTATAGAAAACTAGAAAAATATAAGAGAAAATCATTAAATTAGAAGTCTCATTACCTTTTTTTTTCCAACAAATTTAGCAAACAATAAGTGTCACTAACATTTCTCAAGCAAATAGGCAAACATGAATCACAACTTGTGTGATTTACTACTCCATCCTTGTTTTACAAAACAGAACAGAATTTATATCACCCAGATCATCTTTATTTGAACATTAAAAATAATCAAATATATGTTGATTTATTACTTACTTCATTACATGAGTCTTAAGTGATTCTGAATAATTTAATTTAAAATCTTTAAATACCTGGCGTGGAGATCCAGATCGTGATCGTGATCGTGATCTTGGCCTGCATTATTCAATGAACAATTCAGGTGCATAAAAACAGTGCATAACAAACCTGTGTAAAAGATGTATTACAAACCATATTCAATGCAGTATGTTGTGTACCTGGAAGACTTGATTGGTGATGCAGATCGAGATCTAGATCGTGACCTAGACACAGATCGTTCCAAAGATCGTGACCTAGCCCTTTTGGGACTTCTGCTCCTGCTGGGGCTTCTGCTTCTGCTCCTGCTCCTAGAACGACTACCCTCATACTTCCTCACCTGCAGACACCAATCAAAAGTTTTGCCCACTATTTTTGGTAACTCCACAAAACACTTCTCACATAAATCAAAAGAATCCTGTGCGCATTCAAAGTGACAGGTGCAAGATCATTTTACATGGGAAAAAGGGCAAAAGAAATACACATGCAAGATCAATCAGCAAGTAAAAGTTGTTTGAAATTTGAAAGATCTGCAACAATAACCACATGCATAGAGAAATCACTCTAAGAGTAACCCCAGGATAAGAAATTTTTAAACATTAGTGTACCCGAATATAAGCTCTTGCCCAAGGATTTCTAAACTCAGTGTCATCCAGTTTCCGAATCTGTAAAAAAGGTGAATTAGATAACAGATAGAAGTAGAGTCTAGCAGCAATCTCCGTATCTTGTTATCATTCAATGAAACATAGAACTTACAGCATATTTCATGTCATCATAGTTTGTGTAATCAACAATGCCAAAAGTTCCTAGACAGAGAGCATCAGTATTAGTGGTATGCATGAAAAAATATATTTTTAGCATAAAACATGTTGGAACAGGAATAGATTCTGTAAAATAGAAAGATATAAATTTAAGTAGCCATCTGATTTCACAAAGGCTTGCATGAATAGAGACAGACGCTAACAATGATCTCAAGAATACTGCTCTTCTACCTTTCTAATTATTTGATCTGTACAAATAAACTCAAATTTCATTTAATATACTCTTAATTCACCTAGGGAGACTTCAAAGAAAGACTATCCACCTCAAATGGCACAAGTGGCGTTGTGCATTGGAACCTTAATAGCAGATTATGTAGAATACTTAATGCCCATTTAAATACAAAAGGATATTACATGTATTAGCTCAAAGCCCTCAACTACATGCTCCTAACCCTAATAAGTGTAATCTTCCAACTTAATATCATCCAGTTCCAGATACCTATACAAGTTGAATAAAGCAAGGTAATTTGAAATTACGACATTGCATGTTTCATTATTGTTTTCATACTTCATAGTGACTAAGATTCTTTAACATATAGATACAATCCATTCACAACTAGGCCAGTAGTTAAAAGAATCAAATACAACAGCATATGGGGTAAAATATAGATCCCCACCATTCAAAACCTTTATTGGGCTGTTTATTAACCTTGGGGGCAGTGAACACTACTTCCAAAGTTAAAAAAACTTTAACTGCCAATTTGGGAACTACTCTAAGCCTATGACTTGTAAACTCCAAACTTATAATAAGGCAGAAAATGGATACAACTAATTATAAAGTACTTCAGGTTATAAGTAATGGGAAAGATTTAATTCCAACTTTAGTCCTCCCGGTGCACATAAAGTAATTCAACTCAAAATAACAATATACAACAGTTTCAAGGTGTTAATATTCCTAGAAGCAATTGAACAACAAATTTGAAGATCTGTACCTATTAAGAGTTCGAATTTTCCTGGTTATTGTGCTCTATTTCTTCAAACATATTAGTTCAAACTTTAGTTTGTATTTGTATGCTTCTAGATTATGAAGTTCAAAACCCTGGGATCTTATAAGCACATTTTAATTCTAATACAAAAAAAGAGGGAACAGCTGCTTTAAACAAACAAATATCATTCAAAGCAGACTTTTTCTGTTAAAGGTACATGATCTAGGCCAAATACTGACAATTTAAGTAAAGAATATTGTTTTGCAATGAACACAAGCACAGCTCAAAAATTAATTACAAAACACAGAAAGGAACATCCAACTCCAGTATTTAAGTTTTATTAGGGCCTAGCTTCATTTGTTTCTCAGATGCAACAAAACATACAAAACATAACCTCACATCAATTTAACTCATAGTAATGAAGTTGTACCTTCACTATCACGTGAAACCTCAGCAAAACAAACATCACCAGCCTTTCGCATATGATCCTGAAATCAAATATTCATAATGTAAGGTGGTGGCCATTTGAGTAATTAAGTAATATGACCATTCTGATACCTTCAAATCTTGCCAGGATGCAGAAGATGGCAGTCCACGAACAATAACTGTAGATGAAAAAAAAATTAAGCTTTATGCAGTGCACAAAATATGAAAACAAAAATGATTCATTAACTATGGCTGATTTGTAACACAAGGCATGAAAAATAAGATTTTCCAAACGGCAAATTCATAAACATGCAAGAGATAGTCTCGAACCTTGGCTTCAAAGTTCTAACCATAAATACTGTAAAATCTCGGAATCACATATATCCAAGAATTTAAATCCTTAATAATAATATGCAATTAAAGCACAGCTAAGTGGATGTGCAGTCTGAAGGAAAAATTTATAGGGTACACTCCCTATAATTTCCAATATAAAATAAAAAAAAATTCCTAATGGACACACCTCGATATTCAGAATGGCGCGAGATGCCAAATCGGCCGCCGCCGCCACCACCTCCACCGCCTCCTCCTCCTCCTCCTCCTCCTCCTCCGTATCCCCGTCGATCACTTGATGATGGCCCTCTACCACCATGAGCAAGCTCCACCTACAACAAGAACACATAAGACATAACACAAAAGACTATTTACCTTGCATGACAGAAGTTGGAAGAGCTCCTTACCCTTAACCGACAACCATCAAAGTTGTATCCATCCCGACCTCGAATTGCATCTTCCGCATCTCGAGCATTGTCAAACTAGCAATGCCAACAAAATAGAAATGATCAAATTGCAGAAGATAAAAGGACACAGAATTGTCCACATATGAGTACAAGAGAGATCAAAATAAATACCTCAACAAAGCAATAACATGGAGGGCGTGGTGGAATCTTCAATTCAATATCTATTATACGGCCATACTGTAAAGGGAATACCATCGCAACACAACTTCATTAATACACAACTACCATCCCCACTAATCAGACATTAAGAACTATAAATTATATTGGGGGGAAAAAAAAAGCATCATGTGATTGCTACAAAATAATGGGTTAAAGTCTAATCAAGTCAAGCAACCTTTGGCAAATTACAACATATTCAAAAGGAAAACAGGGTCCACAACAAGAAAATAAACAAGTATGGAGGTCAAGAATTCAAGACAATTCTTTACCCTTGCTCATAAGCCATAAGAATAAAGAGTACCTACCATTTACTCCTCGATTGAAATACTTTAAATTGATTTTCAATATAAAAAGAAGAAATATAAAAAAAATGCACGGTTCTAGTAAGGAAATTCACATTGAACAAATTACAAAAGCAGGGAGGTAAATTCCAGAATCCAGACAATAGTTTAAACATTGAGAAATCAGAAGGACAACTAAACAGAGCGTGCACAAAAATATCATGCACTGGATGCACCACAATATGTTATACAAGAAAAGTGCCTATCTAACCTTGTAAAACAGATCTTCAATTTCTGATTCCCTTATGTCGGATGGCAAGTTGCCAACATAAATTGTGCGAGAGAAGCGACCACTCATCTGTTAGAAGTTATACAGTTTGTCTACAAACAAAATTGGAAATCATCAGTAAAGAAGAAATCTGTCACTTTATGAAGCCACACCTAAACCTAAATGTCTAATTGTCATCATCATTACTCTAATGATTACACAAAAATAAAATAAAACCAAAACTATGAAGCAAACCAAGAGAGCAATCCCTGAGGTGAGCCATGCTCCACAAGCTCCATTGCTCATTTTGCTCCAAGATGCTCCAAAGCTATAACAATATGAAATTAAATTTGATCTCCTCATCCTTTCCAGAATATTAGCAGGCATACATCTTCTGAGAGTGAGCAAGAATCTCCAATTATTTTAAAAAATAACCACAACTCCACCCCGATTCTCCCACTCCCTCTCTATATCCCTATGTTTGATTGCAAAGCTCATATTTGTCCAAGCGCTTGTCATCTATCATAAACAAAGCATTGGTGTCATGATATCAAATTAAGATCGACATATACTTAAGCATTTACCTTACTCAGCTCTCTTTTTAACAGCATTGAAAAATCATCCTTGGCAAAAATTCGCAACATGACCCCTAATTGTGTTGGTATACCTTAGTAAAGCAACCTAAATGTCCTGGATATGTAGTGGAAATACATTTCCCTACCCTCCCTATCTGAAACACTCGTGTCTATGGGCAAACCGTTTATAACAACGAATCCTTTGTTTGAGGTACTATTGCAACCCTAAATTTCACATGTTACAACGGAAGAGCCGGTAACCAAGTTCTTCAACCTCTTATAAATATTTCACGCCAGTGAATTACAACCTTAACAATCAAATCAACTAATTTCGACTTTGCCCTCCAATAATAAGTCGGAAACAAACACAGGAGAGTGAGGAAAAGATATTTTCAAGATTAAACGTAATTATTAAACGGAGTCTTCACTCTTCAGAACACGCCAACAATAACACATATCGTGCACCTAAATCCAAAGTTAGAAATATGAAGAAATTAAAATTCCAAGCTCACCGGTGGAATTGAGGTAAAATTCCTCAAAACCCTAATTGTGCAGGGGGTCACACAAACAGAATAGAGACATGGAACAATTGCATATAAAAAAGAACAGGAATAATTTGATGAATGCCATACCAGAGAAAGGAACAACTTGAATGCCCAATCGACCGTTTGCGAAGCTGAAGCTGAGAAACACGATCCTTTCGAATTCGAGGGAGCGTAATGGTAAGGGTCTAGGGTTGCGGAATGAATTTATGGACCCAAACTGGTTTTGGGCCTTCACAACAGCACTGGCCCATCTCTCCCATCAAGCTAAAAAGACGTATATATATTTACAACTACAATTTTATTACTGACCAAAACAAAAACTATTCACAATTATAATTTTACTCTTGTTGACCCAAAGAAAAAAAAAATCAATTTTACTTTTGAAACCTTTTCACATGTCAAGAGAGATGATAACCAATCACTTAAATATATTATCATTAATCGTTGGTTCAAATAATAAGGACTTTTTTTTATTATTTATCTTAAATAAGGTTTTGAGTTCAAGTCTAATTTTATTGTTTTATATAAACTTACTCAGATAAACTGAATCAATCAAAAACGTAAAGTTGCTTTTGAGTCATTAAAAAAAGAAAAAAAAATCTTGAATTCACATGCATACAAATTTTTTGGAGTCAATAAGCCAGTAACTTTGCTTATAATCTCATAGATATTCTTAAGTCTACGTAAAAGATGATTTTTCTAATCCTTCAATAATCAATGTAAAACTTGTCCAAACTACATGGCCCTACCTAATCAAATAAAACTTGGCATGATTTATATAACCGGTCTACCTAATGAAACAAAACTATATTTTGTTGTTGCCAATCTTAATAAGTGATAAATTATTGAGCTAAACTAAGATAATATATGAACTCATTAAATGTAGATTAGTTACGAGAATCCAGCACACAAACTGGTTGTTATAGAATTAAATGGATAACTTATCCATGTTCCTTTTAGGCAACCTTGCTTTTAGTGTCAGTATTTTTATACAAATTCTGACGTTTTTTAACTTATTTCTTCACTTCCTTCTAAGTTTGTAGGAAGTGGTATTGGGTAATCACAACATGCTTTCTATCCATGGAACGCCGTTTACTGCTGCCCTTTACATGGTTAGTGATAAACCAAACACCATCAGACCAAGAATTTGTAGAAGAGCAAGATCTGTCCGGGGTACGCTGACCGCGACAATGTACATGCACATAAATATGAAAATGGAAGATGTGTAGTATTGTACAAAACAGAAAAATTAACCTACAATCATATATACCATGCGAAAACTCTAGACAAAAATTCTTCTTCAAAACTCCATCTGTTGAGCTCCAATTAAGCCGACGGCTTATCTTTTTCTTTCTTTTTGTAATGTGTATGTTACAACAAAAATTCTATTGGAAGTGGTATATGAAGTGAAAAAGAAAAAAGAAAAAGAGAGTTGTTGTTCCCTTTGTCCATGGAAAAATAACCCAAATTTAATGAAAGAATAGATTTGAATACCCATATGCTCAGCGAAGATAGCAATGAGACATGAACGTCGCCGAAACATGTTATAACCTATGCCTCTCACAAATTATGGAAAAATTGGATGCTGCATAACTATAGACCTAGTGATATGCACATCCACTTTAGTCATTTGGATCCATTTCCTCATCTTGATCCCATAGCGCAGTCTGATTGGTTTTGCTACCATTTTTGTCAGATTCAGATTCGTCAACAAAATCATTAATTTCATAGTCTGCCAGCCCTTCATCTTCGGATTTAACCCCCTCTTTCTCCAAGGAACCTGCCTTACTGGCATGTTGCATCCATTTGGGGCATAGGTCTTCACCTCCATATAGAACCTGGCCACCGTCACCTCGGACACGATTAGCAACCTTGGTAGAAGCTATTTTGCATGAGCATTCTGGAAGTGGATGTGAAAGAAACATTGCTGGTTTTGACAAAAGAGCTTGCCTTATGAGACCTTCTTCAGTCAAGCTTTTGTTAAGATGTTCCTGAACTGAAATCGTCCAATTATGTTTAGGATGGTACAAATTTTCACGAGTTATGTTGAAAAGTTTCGCAACAAGTTTCCTGTGAAAGATAGAGATACACTAGTGTCATAAAAAATGTAAAATGAAGGGAAATTTAGTGCCATAATGAAATCAAAATTTAGGGAAACAACTTCAAGAGAGAAATTTCAACTCCTATTTATAAACACTAGGACCTACAAAATTTTCAAAGGAGTAGCATGCTGAGAAGTTTGAAGCAAAAAAGATGGAAGATGATATCATACTCATCACTTTAGATACAAATATGCATACAATTCTCAAGGCACCAATTGACACAATCAAGAAAATGAAAAGATGACTATGATCCAATTTGGATAAGCATGTGTAGAAACACTTGTAGGAGAAAAACAAAAGCATGATAAAATAAATAAAGTCCTTCTCATAAGTTATAATCAACTTTATGCAAAATATTTTATTTGTTTTATCTCCTAATTTTCTTCCCCTACAGAAGTACTTCTAGAAAAGCTTATCCAACTTGGGCCTATGTTCAAAATGCACATGTGGAAAGGAGGGCATCTCATGTAAACATTTGATTATTTGGCTCAGTGCAGTGCAGCAAGGAGTGGAAATATACAAAAAATTTAGGAAGGAAGTGCCAAAGACATTCCCTAGGCTTGTCTGCAGTCTGCTATAAGAGCAATGTCGTGTCTAGTATATATTTTCAACTTTTCAGATGTGACATGTATGGATGCCTCTAGAAAGTATTGCTAGTCATCGAAGTGGTGTGAAAGGTATACTTGGCTTGTCTTCTCTACATCTTTAATTAATAAAGATGAAATGTATATTCTCAATAAATTAATTCCAACTCCCAAGTGCATTTTATTTTTACCTGTCTGGTCGGTATGTTCTAAAAGAAGCAGTCTCATACATTCGATGCCCCATCACAAGGCTTGAAAAATCTGGCCATCCACTACCATCATTGTTAAATCCTGGAAAGAAGGCATCTGCTTCCAAAGAAACAATGTAATCAAGTGCATCCCAAAGTAACCTGTGTGCTTTCATTCTCAGATCCATAGGGGAAGGATCAGGCTCAGTAGGGGTCTCAGTGATCCAAGCATACCAACCTTCTTTTTCATGTTGATAAATTGGTCTATCTGGAGGTGGAGGAAGAGGCCGAGGCCGAGGACCAGCCCTCTTCCATTCTTCTTTGAGTTCTTCCTCACTTTTTGCAGGAGGTGGTTGAAACCGATTTAGTGGAAGAGGTGTTTCAGGTCCAACCAAGTCAGACAACTCTTTTTCACTGCATAAGGACGTGCGATCCACAGTATTGATAAACATGGACCGCAAAGGAATTAAAACACGTTGACCTCCAAAAGTTTCAGAGCCAGCCAGGTAAATGATTGTTTTGGCAGGATAGCCCATTACTCGAAGGAGAATGCCAACCTGCAAAAGTTTAAACAAAAAAGAAACATCTAACCTCTGCATAGTAGTGCTTTGAAAATCCATAGTCCATACAGATGCTAACAATTGGCATTCATCCAGGATCAGTGCAAAAGTTAATCAATATTACTTCAATCGTTTTCCCCAAATGCAAAAAGTCATCTTTAATAAAACTCTTATCAGTATCATCAATTATAACCGAATACAGCAGAATAACTACTTCATCACTACCATGAAACCCTATCGTAAAATTTAGCATACCTCTTCAGGCATCAGTGGACATAGACCTTTATCTCTTTGCAAGTGTGAATTCACATTCAATTCGTCTTTAAGAATTCCGTCTTTTATCATTTGAGCCCTTCGATGTTGAATGAGTTCAGTGTGTACATCCTAACAAACCAAAACCTTAACATAATAACCAAAGAAAAAGAAAAAAAAGGGGGAGGGGGAGACAGAAGCAGAAAATTGAAGAGCCTAACTCATATATTACCAATTTCTGGTGTACCCAAAGCACATTACAAATTTATAAGCATTTAGATGAAATTAAACCCTAAAAGTTGTATACATTGTAATAGCTCCAATAATTCTAGGCAATTAAACAAAAGTGAAAGACTGAGCAAACCTGAAAAAGTTCTGCACAACCATTGTATGCCAAGGTTTCTCTCAATAAGCCAGGATGAAATGCCAAGAATGGTTGCCCCAACGCTCTTAACCTTAAAAAGATTAAAGAAATCTCTATAAAGTAAACCCTAAAAACGTTTGTGATATATGGGCACAGCATGACGACCATAGAGAAAACCCATATAAAAAACTCTACTGGCAAGCTGAACCCTATAATTTTTAAAATCACATTCTCATATTCATATTTTTTATGACACAAGCACACAATCACATATGTTAAAGACCCAAAAAATTGGCAGTGACAAAAAACAAGAGTGATCTATGTGATAAAAAAGCAAATGCAGATCAATTTGTTTAACCAAAAGGTATTCATACTTGTGAACCATCCGACGGCCAAGCATTTGAATTTCTGGACGAAATTGAAGAGCATGGAAAGCAACCCTGCATCGTAACCTCTGAATCTCTGCCATGCTAGGTGGGAGTATTGACTGCAAAAATGTATAGCAACTTGGTAAAAATGCACATGCTCAAACAAAAAGTGAAAGAGTGGAAATTCTAGTATTGAAGAAGCTAAAAGCATACTAAACAAGCAATGCCCTTTGGACAGCAAATACACAACATAAGAAAGCGTTTGAACAGAGGGCAAAGGCATGGAAAGGTTAAGGAGATGGTAAAATGCTGAAGGAATTACAATCCTTCTACAATATTTTCAAATATAAAAATTTTAGCAAAAATAAAAAAAAAATGACACGCAAGCAACATGCAAAGTCCAAAATATATGATGTGAATTGCCAGAGTCTAAGAATAGAAATATTAAGCATGAAGCACTTGATAAAATGTCACAAGACGTCCATTTATTGTGAAAATTTATTAACTTGTTATAGAATTAAGGAAGCTAAGCTGATAAAGTAAATGCATCGAAGTCTGAAATCCATGACAGGTAAAGAACTCAGTATGTACATGAAAAAAGGGTCAGGCCATGATATGATCTCAAGCAGAGGTTAGCACAGAGCCTTGAAGTTCTAAGAATAAAGCAGTTTCAATGACTTACAAGGATAACATAATATGCTAACTTTGTTCTATATAGACAATATTTGGTATCAGCAAATGACAGATGACAGATGTTTCCTGAAGTAGACCCCGACATCTACAAGGTTGCAACAATAACATAAATTTAAATTAACAATTTCAGAATACTGAAATACCTGCAGAGCTCCACCATTGGCAATAATTAAACCAATAACCTTTGATTTCTTTAACTTTGGCAAAATTTCTTTGATGTAAAAGTTTAGAGAAGAAGAACTTGTGGGCTTAAATGTAGGGATGTCATTTCTTTTTCTCCTTTCCATCATTGTTTCTGGCAGGGTCTTTGCAATGATTACATCATTTTTGAGATATGCTATGAACTGCTCCTCATTATAAAGATAGGAAAAACTCTTGAACTTTGAGCTGAATAAAATTTCAAAAACAAATAAATCATATGTACAAATCACCGCAAGAAATATTAACACTTTAACAGTCTAACACACAACAACTGAAGAAACCTTCCTGCACATACCTGATTCCTTTTGAGCGAGTACTTTCTTGAATTTCAGGAATGACAAGAGTAGCGTTTAAAATCCTAGATATGGCGACCAGATCAGAGATCTATAAAATCAAGAATACTGTTGTTAAATTACAAACAATGATATAAAATGGCTTTTCAGACCCTCCCCTAAGTCCCAACCTCCCCCCCCCCCACTCTCTCTAATAATGGGATAAACAAAACAAGACTTCTACACATCAGGTGGAGTATACCGATGATCTTATCTTTGCAAACCCACCAAAAACTTTTGCGTATATGAAACCGTTGCTCTGCTCCTTTGGAACTGCAAAGAGAAAAAAAAGAAACTTGAAGTGGAAGATGGAGAGAGTGAACACAGCACGTTATAAAATATTTGACAAAGAACAAAATCACCAAATACTCAATTATGTACCTTCTCAGACAAATTAGAGAAAATGTACCTATCATAGTCAACTCAAGGTTATGCCACAAATCTATACTTCACTCCAGTAACACTAATAAGTGAAATGTTTCAAACTAGATTATAATGAAAATCTTTAAGGATCTTTTAAAATATGAAAGTAATATCTCAGAAAAAAATCACCATCTCCAACATCAAATGAAGCAGAGATTCTCATAATCTGTAATCTGTTTACTAATAATACCTTTCCAATGTTAAATGTTTGCCTTAATAAGCAACTTATATATATGCAAGTGAAAACAACAAACAGGTCATAACGACGTAAAATATTTACACTTCAACAAAGTTTAAGGCATACCCACTTTTGAATCAACAAGTCTAAATTGCATATTTTCCATTCATCCCCCACCTCCCAAATAAAGAACTGAGAGATTTGAGCAAAATTATTACCAGAAAAATTGCTTCTAGCGTCGGCATTAGGCTGCAATGCTTCCAAGGATTTTATGGAACCCCATAGCTTCTTATTCTTTATACCCTGTAGCATTTCACCAAATAAAAGCAAAATAACTTAGTTGAAACACAAAACACAAGACCAAACACATGCAGCAAATAGACAAAATATTAAAAATTAACCTGTCTTCCCAACACAGAAGCAAAACCTTCAGGAAGATTGGGTAGTGCTTTATATTGCATTATATTAACAGTCCACAACTTTGTCAAAGACAGATGAATGATGATAGAAGCCACAGATAAAGTGACTACCGAAAGCACAACCCATTTTATCTTAGTTATGAATGGCATCTTGGCTCAGTGACTCTACATCGCCAATCCTGCACCAGCCGACTTTGAGCTTATTAGCTCCAACATCTATCAACAAGAAAGTGCACAAACAAATCGGTTAATAAATGAAGTACACAGCACAGTGCTCATAGAGTCATAGTTGATAAATACAGCATCCAAAAAGAACGTTTTACATCCATGTACCTAAACTCAATTACCAATCTCTCACAAACTTCATTTAGTATCAATACCAGGATCAATACCGTAAATAACTTTTTCATTGCAATCTTAATCCAACCGACATTAGGATCAATATCAGGAATTACACATGTTGCAGCATCACATGTACTACTGACACAAAATCTTAAGTGAGTCCAGCAAATATCATCATCAATAAGGTAACTGTTAACAAAAATTAAAAAACAAGTATCTAAAATTAGGATGCATGTTACTAAAAAAGACAAATAGTTTAACTATTCAGATCATAACAAATGCAGAATATCCAAGGGAACGGTAATGGATTTCTTCTATGTCATCAGAGAAGAATGTGGATGACGTAAAAAGAGAAAGGAAGCAGCATAGCCTAGGGTAAAGTAAAACATGCAAACACAGTAAGTGCAGGAAAATAACGAACAAAGGCGTAAGAAAATTGATACAGAATTGAAATTTTGATCAGAAGGTAAGCACATGCATTTGGCATTAAGCAATAAGATAGATAGAGATTTGGTCTTAAAGTAGGAAGCAAAAGCGAACCTGAAATTCCCAATCAGTGATGCAGTGATGATTGGGGAAGAGCGAAGAAGCGAGTTATGAAGCAAGTAGCAACTACGCTAGGCTTGGGCGTCTCAGCTGGATGCTGAATCAATTCGGCGATTTTCGATTGGATCTCTGAAAGCGAGATTCGGACTTGTTCTGTGTGTATGTTGGGATCACTGTAACGAAGGGGTTGATGGGTTGTTGTCTGGGTTAAGGAAAAGGGCTTGATGGAGGAATATGGATTCAGCTTCGATGGCTGCTGGGTGTGAATTTGGGTTCTTGGATCCAAGATCACGCTCTCGGACGCACCTCGAAATCACGTGGATCTTTATTCAACTATACTCCTCCCTCGTCTTCATTACTAAGTTGATCACTATTATAAATTTTCCAGAGATGAATGAAGTGCGTCAAAAGGAAAACAATAATAAAACAAAGAAATTTTCCTTTTCAATGGGATATTTGGAAATATTTAAAAATAATAATATATTTTTTTTTGGAAATTTTCTCCTACCAAAATTTTATGAGTGTAAATTTGATATATTATTAGTATAAAATTTTTATACTGTTAATTAATTAGAATATATAATAAGTATAAATGCCATATTAATTATTATACTAGTAAAAATATTCTTCATAAAATAATTTATGATCAGATGACAGCTACACTGTCATTGTATTTCAATTACATTCATTTTTTTAAACGCAACATCAATTCATATAAACTCATGTTAATGATAATTATTCTTGCGAACATGTCAAATTTAATTGAATGGTTCTTAGAAATGGTCTTGAGCTTTTTAACCATTCGACTTTTAGTGAAAATTTATAAATAGAGATTAAAGAAATGAAAATAACTGGTTTCATTGTTTTTTTCAATGATCAAAACAAATAATAATTTGTTAAGCTAGGTTAACTCATCAAGTTGGTGTATGATTTTCATGAGTTTTTTCAACTTGTTTTATTAAATTTCTTGATATAAATTATTTAAATAAAATATTTTGAACTTATTTTAATAAATTTTATAGTTAAATTTATGACATAAATTATTACATTAAAAAGTTTACTAAATAATATTTAATTATATCACACTCTCAAAGATTCTTAGCTTCAACCTTTTTACCTTTGACGCCAGCTCCATAAAACAGCTAATTAGAGCAATATAATTAAAATTAAGTGTATGTTTAAAAATATACTGAAAAATGAAGAAACTATAATTAATAATTTTAAAATAAATATTAATCTATGTTGATTTAGACATAAATTCAAACGTACTATAAATCCTACATTAAGTTGCTATTTTCAAAATCCTTCATTCAAGACGATTTTAAACCAACTAAGAAGATTTGTCTTGAATTTTAATCACCCACCTAGGAGAATTATTCAAGTTACACTGGGTTCTCACAACTCTTCAAATGTTTATTGTTTGGACCAGCAGATACTAAGTTCAACAATAAAAATTAGGAACCAGCTTCCAATCATGGTTTTAATCGATGCTATAACTTTTTCATAGCTAGGACCGGGTTAAAGCGATCAAAACCCGATTAAATATTATGTGATTCAACAAGTTAGTTTAACTGTGTGTTTGTTTTAATATTTGTCTAATGCAACCCGACGAAAGAAGTTTGCCTCTGTGCATGCTATATCTCATCAGCTCTGTTTTTGTAACTGAATTATGCAAATTGATGGCTAAAAATTTACTTAGCTCACGTTACGATGCATGTTATAACTTTCTAAAACATGTTTGCATTTACATTTAAAATACTAGAGTTTTATATTTACTTGTAATTTTACGTTCAATTTCCGTTTATAGGGTTTTTTATTTGAGTTACTTATTATAGTTTTTACATTAAATTTTATATATATTTTGGCGTGATTCAAAAACAACCGTAGATCTTTTAACAATGATTCAAACTTGAATTACAATAATTTTGTCAATTGAAAATTGCTCAAAAGTGTAAATTTTTTTCGTATACAAAAAATGACAAAAACTGTATTACTGAATAGCATGATATTCTTTTCAAGCTACCAAGTTCATTTTCTAATTTTTAGTTACCATCCATTGCTTACGAGATATCTTCGAACCATTCAATAGTTCTGTTTAAAATTGACAAATCAGAGCCTGACGCCTGCTTCACAATCATCACTGAAAAACTTCCCCTTCCTCGTAGATAAACACCATCAGTTTCTGTATAAAATCATCCAAACACCATCCAATATAAAACGACACCAAATAATCTCATCCTAAATGTCATTGCCTCCAAGTACACCTGAATTAAGCATCACCTTTGCCGAGAGGTTTTGTTATTAAATCCCAGTAACATTTTCCACAAAAAAAAAAAAAAAAACAACCGCTCCATGTTGAAGAATAGACAAGTGCTATATCGATGGCAAACAGAATACGAAAGTGAACAAGTCAATTAGAAACTTAGTTACCACACAAAAATTTTAAAAAACTCACAAAAATTCAACAATTAATTATAATAGTCGATTGGCTAATCTCAACGATAAAAATTTTATAGAACAAAACAAGTTGTGGATTAAGCGAACTCTCGAAAGGAGTCCTAGTCTGGCTACAATAAACTATAAAAAAGATCTAATCAAACAAACTAAAACCCATGTCGTCGTCACTTTCTTCCTTCGGCTCTTCCTGCAATCACAAATTCACATGTTCAAAACACATCAAAACCAGCCTTGCATAAACAAATAACCGAACAGCTAAGTTATGAAATGCGTAAGCTATATAAAGAAATGTATTAGACCATAAGGAATAATAAACAAAACAAAGAACATCAAAACAAATAGCACAAAGGAAACACTACACTAGATCAGAAAAAGGCATCAAATGTCTGTGCAGTGCATGCTGTCACCACAGTAGAAACACAAAGCAAACAATTCACAACTAACCGCAGATAAACAGGAAAAACAACATAACAAGATATCCATTCCTTGCAGGCTTGACTGCATGTAAAGCTATTTCACTTCTTAACTCAATAGCCGCAAGTTCACAAAAAAACTTAAAATTAATCAAAGTGCTTTACTGTTTTTGCCCATTCATCACTCAGAAATCTCAATCAGAACAACGGCTTGATAATATTTTCTCATAGATCAAATAAATTCTAGTTCCAATTTAATAGTTAATTGGAGTTGTTCAAGTGGGCAATTATGGATAACAGAAAATTTTCAAAGATCCCCTCTCGATTCTCGAAGCATAAAATCTCCTAATTGCGTCCCAAATACTTAATTTAGGTTATAAAAGGTAATCAACATTACAAGAGCAACAATTTGTTTTACAAGCATGGGAAAAATATGGGCATCCACCCTACAGTAGAAAATTCAATGTTTAAAATCTTAACTGAGCATCATTGTGTTAATTTTATAAGATTATATTAATAACACTTTAGAATTAATCAATACTTTGGAACCTAATTCATTATTAAGATCCCTAAGACACTACAATTTGATGTATATCATTTGACTATCGTATCACATGAGAAACAAAACATTCGCTAACAGCATCAAAACCAGTACCTTCTTTTCCTCAGCAGCAGGTGCGGCGGCAGCACCACCACCACCGGCGGCAGCGGCAGGAGCGGAAACGGCAACGGCAGCACCGCCGGCGGTGCCACAGTTAAAAATGAGGTCATCGATGTTCCTGCTGTTGGCGAGTCTGGCGAAGAGGCCGGGCCAGTAGGACTCAACACAAACATTAGCAGCCTTCAACAAAGTATTGATTTTCTCCGCCTAAGGAAAAGGAACCCGGAAATTGAGATATATCATTTAAGAATAATAAAAATGAAGGGTTAAAAGAGTGTAGACTAACGCTAATTGGGATCTCTTCATCGTGGAGAATGAGAGAGGCGTATATGCAAGCCAACTCGCTGGAACCCATTGCAGCACAGAAATTGTTGATTTGGAGCTGCTTTTGCTTGGAGCACAGAGCACAAATTAGGGTTGTTGAAGGGGAAGCAGTGGAATATATAGTATTGTTAGAGACTAGGGTTTCTATCGATTTGGACCACATGGGCCTTCTTAGCAATTCGGGTTTGGTTTGTTTTGTTTTAATTGTGAAACAAGGAACTTAATTTTTTTAAATATTACGCAAAATTAGTTAAAGTACTTGATGTCTGTATGGATTTTTTTTTTTCATATTTAATAACTTTCAGATTTATTGTTTTATGTAAACAAGTTTAAAAATTTTAAATGTTTTTATAATTAAATTGAATTTAGTAAAAAATAAATATTAAAATTATAGCTTATATAATATTACCTTGTTGACTTAAAAAGAAGTTTTTTTAAAAAAAAATTATTACTGAAGGAAGGAGAAAGAGAAGTGGAATTTTTCAAGGTGTAGGAATCAAACCCTGATCACCCTACATGTATTTGCTTGTTCTCACTGTTTGATCTATATTGCAAAGTTCATAAAAAGATTTTATTGGTATTAGTTTTTTTATAATTCTTTTTTTAGACGAAAACAAAAGAAAAAAATTATAATCTTAAATATTAAACTCTCTTAACATTAATCTGAAGAATACTTAATGTCTGTTGATCATCAACCGTAACAATCATATATACAAATAAATAATTAAACAATGAATTTTAATTATTAACTTATCATTAAAAAAATTGTATTAATATAATAGGTAATATATATATATATATATATATATATATATATATATATAAGGCAGAATTTTTTTACGCTGTTGTAAGTTTAAAAACTCTTACACTGAATTTGAGTATTTCATTTAACTTAAGTCTAACGGGTTATAATTTATTACTTCACTGGCTATTAGATTTAAGTTAAATACAAAATTTAAATTTAGTCTAAGAGTTTTTAGACTTACACTAGTATAAGAATATCATTTTCCATATATATATATATATATATATATATATAAATGAAATTTTTGAATTTTACATAACATATAATAAGGTTTGTTTAGAAATGTTTTTTAAATAAGTCTTACATATTTATTTATAAAATATTTCAGTATAATAAAAAAGCCTAAACTTAGATTTATAGTAAAGGAGTAAGTGAAAAAAGTACTTTTTAGAATATAACAAACTGAAATTTAAGATAGAGAATTTAATCTTAACATTGAGATGAGAAAAGATGACTCTCCTCACATTTAATTTATTAATTGAACCATTAACATCATCCAGTCAACTTTTTAGAATATAATGAACAGAGATTTAAGATAGAAGAATAATTCTCTCTACATTTAGTTTGCTAATTGGCTCATTAGCATCATACAATCTGCTTTTTATAGTATTTACTATCAGGTATAACAATTTATCGAAATTATCCTTGATTCAAGCTTCATACTTTTATTTCTCTTTTCCTTTTCCTTTATTATTTCCTTGTGAATCTCTCATTCGAATTACTAAAACAACATATGTTAGAAACTAGTTATATAAATAATTATGGATAAGAATACTTGTTAAATTTATATCTCACCTAATAGGTATCTATATAATTAAAAATAGTATTATAGTTCTGTAAAAAACTTAACTGCTATATATGTATATATATAGGGTATACATTATTATTTCTATATTTTAGATATTTAAACATCTATTTTTTTTAAAGATCTACAATTGATTGTAGAGACCATGATATCAATTTTAGCTTTTACCTTTTCCTTTTATTGACGCGTGTTATAAAAAAGAATCACTACTTAAAAGTTAAAATTTCAAGCATTTTATATATTATATATCTGAGAAACAAACTCAACTAAATAGAGCAAAAAAGAGCAAGTCAATGGCAATATCATTTAAGTTTTTACCAAATAGAGAAATGGAAAGAGAATAATAGTACATTATTATATATGAGCAGTGCAGTATTATTAGTAGAGAAAAAAAATAAAGAAGACAAGAGCATAAAAAAAATATAACAAACTCACTTGAAATTTTTTAAAGCAATTGAAAAGTCACTTCAAATAATCCTCTAAAATTTGATAAATTTATATGTAAATATTGTATGATAGTCACAATAAAATGCATTGTTCAAGATCTGCATAATTAGCTAGAACAAGAAGGGGATTAAGGAAGGAAAAAAGAACATAAAAATTATCCAAATTTAAGTACAAATTTTGATAATAAAAATAATTTTTAAAATAATTTAAATAATACTTATTTTATAACCTACACTAACAAAATTGATTGAAGTAAATTTAAAAAAAGTCTGAATAAGTTTTAAGCTATTTTTGTAAAATTTTCAAAATATCTTCTACATGCTTTCTAAATGGATTGATTTCATTAATGATCAAGGAAAATGTTAAAAAATTAATTATATTACTTTAATAAATAATTTTACATCCTAAACTTTGAAATATCAGTTTAAAATAGAACTATAAGAATTTTATCAAATATTTTTAATCTTCTAAAAAGGCCTATATCAAATTTGACTTTGGGTCTCCATGGACGTTGGGCCGGCCCAGGGGATTACCGCCCGTCTTCTTCGGCGTTGAAGAAACACATGAGCCTTCCAGTTTATGAAAATGGACAGCAACTTCTTTGATAGATATGACATTGTAACTTAGATAAAACTAGCCTACAAGATAGCTTATGAAATAATATTTTTTCTTTTTCTTAGTTTCAATTTAAAATGATTTGTCTTTTCAACTTCATATAATTAATATTGTTTTATTTATAGCATTTTTTTATTACCTACAACTCCTCCGTAATACTTTCCCTTTGAAAATGCATAAGTATAATAATTTGGCTTATATTTAAATACTATTTAATTAAAATGCATTAACAATTAAGTTATTCAAATAAATTAATTTAATTTAATAAAAATAATTAAGAAACTACAAGCAATAATATTTTTTCATGTTAACTAAGAATAATAAAAAAGTACAATTAAAATAATAATTGATATTAAAGGTTAGAATTTAATTTATAGTTCATTACTAAGTACAATGATGATGTGCAAATAACTAGATTAAAACACGTGATAAAAATTCTGAGTGATATACGCCAAAAGTGAATCATGATATGTGTCAACCCTATGATAGGTTACATGGGTACTAAAAGTAGTATGTTTGACAAGTGGTAACACTAGAATGAGTAACTCATGTCTGATACGAGTAATTAGTCCAACACCAACATGTGACAATCTCATGAGTAATGTCTCTTCAACATGAGTTACTTGTAAGATAGAAGTCATTTTCTTGCACTAAGATATGTCAGTTTCTCTCGAAATAACATCTGATGAACATGAGTTTTGCAATTCGTATACTCTTCATTTTGTCAATTGTTGTAAATTGTGTTTAAAAGCACCGTAGACAGTTAATTTGTTGATATTTTAGTCTATAATGATAAAAAGTCATGCTTTGGATCTTCCTCATCAAACATAATTGCACAATATAACAATTACAATTGCTATTAAAATATAAGTTTTTAAATCGTTATTGATTGTATTTGTAAACGCTACAACTTCTCATTATATGTACTAAATTGTCCCTCTTACTTCACACAATTTATTGTCTATATTAAAAAAAAGGTTACAAAATAAGATGATGCGACCGTCTCTACACTGGAAACAATAAATATGCTAGAAAATTCAATAAGTACTACTTTCTCCGTCTCATATAGATCTAATTTATATAATGTTGTCAATAAGTATTTATAAAAGTAAAAAATTAAGTAGTAAAATAATTTTTTTATAAGTAAAAATTAACATATGTTTATTTATTTGGTTCGAAACTCTTATTATTATTATATTTATTTTTTAAATTTAAAGAGTATAGGTTTTTCTAACTTTTAAGTAACAGCGGTGAGCGGGTAATCTCCAATTTTACGAGAAATAGATGTTATTTCACGAGCATTAGATCCGATAATCTTGGTTGGCAAGTTTACTTGATCAGCGAAAAATATTAAGACAAAAAAATGTTAATAATAAAAAATTATAATGAAGACCAAAAATAGTAGTAAGTTAGTGGTCAAGCACGCGTACGCGTAGTCAACAAAAAAGCAATGGAAAGAAGGCTGAATCCACCAGAGTTGGCTTAGCAATTAACATTACGAGTCAAAATGGGTGAAGGTTGAACGAGTAAAGGTTCAACCACGCGTCAATGCAAGAAACTTCTAGCCGAGGCTATCCAAAATGCCCCTGTGAAGAAACTTCACGAAAATTCCAAACCAATCTTCCACGACTCTTCCTTTACATTGTATAAATACTCTTCATCATCGTTGTAACCGTGCAAGCTGAATCGAGTACCACCCAAACCAACCAACCTTTCCACCATTTTTTTCAAAGTTCAAACACACAAACAACACAACACAACAAGATGTTCATGTCTATCTTCAGCCCCTTCGAGATCGTGCAGGGACCCATGTGGAGGTTTTCCTTGGGCGTGGGCCCCGTAAAAGGTGCAAACCCGAATCTCAACCCGCAAGGCACTTCCTCCTCCGTCGACGCCGAGCCCAAAACCACCAGCAAAGATCCGAATCCATCGGCACCAGGCGGGCCCAACCAAAACCCGCCCCGTTTGAGGCCCAGATTTGCGCCCGAATTCGACGGTCTGCACTGCTTCGAATCCATCGTACCCTGCTGAGCGATTCATTTCGGTTCGCACCATATGAAAATGACATGCAATTCAATTCAATTTATTTTTACTGTGTAGTCAAATCAATGATACAGAAAGCTATATACTGTATGCGATGGTTCAAATTATATTTCCCTGTAACATGAAAATAGCAAGTTGAAATTTGAAACAATATCGCCTTCTTCTGCTCGGTAATTATTATTAAGCAAGCTATATCCACCAAATATACAAACATATTACAGGGTTTCATTAAACAAGCTACAACCAATATTTTATAATTAAAATCCAGAAAGAGTTTCAAATATTCAGGGATGAGATTTTACCATCACTTTTTCTTTGCTTAAAAAAAGATGAGGAGACGCTCGAACTTACGAACACATACAAGGCTTATAGGTATTAGATAGCGTTTATTATTATTATTGTTTAGCT